TTTGATACCAAGATATCTCATACAATAAACTCAAGAAAACGGTGCTAAAATGTCTTCTTTTTAATTTCAAATGTAATATATTGTATTAAACCAAATTTGTTTTAATATTACACCAGAAAAGAGAAACTTGATATTTATTTTCATGATTGTTTTGTTGGCTTTCAGGGGACCTTATCAAGTGATAAAAATGAGATATTATTCAATGAATTCAACTTGAACTACAATAACTTGCCAGAAATGTATAGGAAGGGGACTGTGATTATTCATCAAAAGGTTTGACTAACATTTATACACTAAATTACTCTTTTTTTTCCATCAGGAAAATTTCATTGATGGCCAACAGAAATACAAGACATACTGTACTGATAGTAACTGTAATAAAAAAATATTTGTAATACAGTTGTACATCTGTACGCAATTACTTCAATTTTTTTGGTCACCTTAGGTATGATTTGTATAATGAATATGTTGAATAAGACTGAATTGTGGGTAATTCACACATCTGTTATTCATGCCTTAGTATCACAGCAAGTAGAATAAAGTGTTAGAAACAATTTTTTGACCCTTCAACTGTATTTTAGATATTTTCAATTTTGTTTATATTTCAGGAAAAAGAGCTGGACTCAAATTCTTTGTCACCTCTGGAAAGAAGTCCTCGGAACTCTGTCTCCTTTAGTTCACAAGGCGACTATATTCCTCGTACACGGGTCCAGATACTCCATTGTGACATCATTAGTGAAAAATTCTGGACTGAACATCCTCAAATTCTAGATGGAATCAAAAAGTAGTCAATGTACTTTGTGTTAAATGGGAGATAACTCTGCAGCTTTAATATGCTTGAAATACATGTCAGAGAGGTGAAAGTGAAAACTTAGTGTTAACCTAGGCAGCCATAATGAGTGCTTGTGATGCATCGTGATCATTGTGGGAGCCATTTTTTGTCTCATTTTGTACAAAGTTTATATTAAACTTCTTTGTATTTATTTTAATGTGACGTTATACTCAATTACGCAATAATATTGTTGACAAAGTTTTCTTAAATATCTTTTAAATATATATGTGAATCATCAATACCAGTCTTATGTTGTGCTACTACTAATCTTCCATTCCTGGATAGTCATTGTGTATCATCCCACTGGGAAAGTGTACAAAATATTTCCAAGAAAACTCAGAATAAATCAGAATTTATGAAAACTTGGTTTGATTGGACAATTGAAAAAATTGTCATACATAAAGCAGAAAGTAAAAGTGCCCTAGAACTGTTAACCATTCTGGGCATTATTCATAGGTACACATCAAATCTAAATTTGATAAATACAGGGTTCGAAATTCACTGTATACAACTCGCAAAACCCGAGTTAGAATTCCCAAATTGCGAGTTAAAAATTAGGTAACTCGCAAAAACTTGCGAGTTGATTTTTTTGCATTGAAACTGTAGCAAAATTATATAATATGACAGAATACAATGCTTTTGATTTAAATCAGTAGTTTGAATAAAAGTCACACTGTAGTTGTATTTTGTGTATTGTACAGTAGTCACTTTTTCCTTAAGTTACATGTATTTAATTTATATAAATTTAACTTTATATGAAAATTGCGAGTAGTCTTATAAAATTGCGAGTTCACTTTCTTGGTACTCGCAATTATTTGCAAGTTGTAGTTTTAGGGAGTTTCTAACCCTGGATAAATACTGTGCTTTTTCTGTCCATTTGTGTATATATTTTGTGCATGTACTTATCACCTCTGTAATTCTAAAGTTGCCTCAAAAAATCATCAAACCTTAAACATTGCTTTTAGAATTGTAAATAATTTTATGTCATGACTTTGAATCTTGTCATATCCTAAAGGTCAAGGTCATTAATTATGAGTTTCTTTTGAAAAGCTCTTATCTGTTGAGTTACACTGCTTGGTCAGGTTAAAATATGTTACCGTGACTTAACATCACATCAAAAAGGTCAAAGTCGTGCCTGCTACCGAGATGAAATTTTACTCTGCTCAAATATGTATCTCTAAAGTCACATTTATGAGTAAAGGACTTCATATTTTGACTATGTGTTGTCATGACCAGAACTTGAATTCATTTCTCAAATGTCACAGTCATTCTATTAGTTGACGTAAATATTGCCTAATCTACATGTATACCTCTTGGACCAGTATTTCTGGCAGAAATGGGAATGACTTGATACTTCACACATTGAAGCAAGTGGTGTGTCTTGACTATAACTCAAGGTCAAACATAAAGGTCAAGGCTTTTCAGCAGTTGAGATGAAAGTCTTTGTTAGCCCGTTTCAATTGAGGATGAATTGATACATTACATTTTTGTATTTTATTTTCTTTCCAGTACTGTATATAACCTTTCTAAATTTATTCCTCAGACTTTCTATGGAAGTAATTTTTTTAAGGAGAAGGGTTATATTTGTTGATTAATAACATTTTATAATTTCATTTTTGGAAAGACACTCTTAGGGTGCAAATGGAAAAAAAGGCCTTTTGATTTCATTATTCATCGTTGAAAATTCATGGACAAGGGTTGGCCACATGATATGAACCTCTGTGGAATCTTCCAATCTTAAATGAATTTCTACAAACACAGGGTCAACATAATAGCTAATTGTTTTGTGTTTCAACTTACTCTCTTCTAAAAGTATTGTTTATCATATCCTAGAAGTTGCGCACAACTGTATGAGATACATACAGTTTGTAAAATAAATACATGGTACTCTTTGTATGACAAATAAAAAGTGTATATGTTTTTTTTTTTTCCTTTTATTGATGTAGCACTTTTACAAGAAAAAAAAATCAATGCTTTTCATTCATTTTCTTGATTACACAATGCATTCATGCTGTCAATATAATAAAAACAAAGATTGTCAATAATCAACCATTAAATATATATTCAAACTAACACTAAAACATCACAGAAACTTCTATGTTATCAAGACTGTTCTGACAAGATGTTATACCTGATATAAATGGTATTTTTATGATTGTTCTTCACACAAGGGTTAATTTCAGTCAAGCCTGGACACAAAAGCTAACCTTACAAAAATTTCTTAAAATGATTTTTTTTAATGTGCACATGAAATACATGACTGTACCTTGAACACTACGGACATCTCTAAGTGAGTTTTAAGTTCCAATTATCTTTTCTCTCTTATTTTAACCTCAGTACCCCAAATCTTCAGATGTGTCTTTTTTTTTCTTGGTCCTAACAAGTTCGAGATAAGGAGGTTTAACTGTATTTCCTATTATTGAGGACAAGCTTGTTTTCTATATGTATCCATACTTTGATGTATTTAAATGTACTTCATCCATTGTGGACAATTCTTAAAAAAAATTAAAAAGCATCCAGAGTGTTTGTGTATTTTGGCAAATGCACAAGCTATGATAAATTTACACAACACTAATTCACCATGAAAAAGCATGTGAATTTTTCATAAAATTGAGTGTCTTTTTTACCAGAAACAAGTAAAAATAATCCATATAAAAGCATTTGGAAAATAAAAATATTTTTACATGTAAAAAAAATATATATTTTTGCGATTTAACCATTTTCTAAAAAAAATGCTCTTTTGAGCAATATATGCCATCAACTTAGAAAGCAACATTTGGTCTTTGTAACCTTTACAGGGGATTCTTTCATACAGTACATAAGTTTACTACTACATGTTTACAGTAACTTATAAACTGTATGCATGTACCTCTTCCGTTCGCCAGACTAAGTCTGTTGCCACCTGCTCACCAACAGGGAGGTGGAAGTAGGATTTTGAGCAGGATGTAGTTTCTTTTATTATAAATAATGTCTAAACATAAGCACTGTTAAAGTATCTAGTCACCTGTTTAAATATATTTTAATTTAACATGTGAAAAAATCTGTTAAAATAGTCATGACATGGCTGAAGAAATGGAAAGGGGGTGGGGGTTGTGACCCCTTCCCCCAAATACTTTTGCCGATATAAGTATAGAAAGCATCTCTCTCCCCCCCCCCCCCCCCCCCCCATAATAATAATGTCTGAATCCTTTTTGTGTGTACTTGTCAAGGATTTTTTGCTTGGTAGGTAACCCGCCCCCAAAAACTGAAAATGTTTTGTTGTCCCCCCCCCCCCCCCCCCCAACTGAAGTTGCTTCCTATGGGCCTATATTAAATGTTTACAGGTAACCAGTTTTAAACCAATTTTTCTAAAAGGTCCACTTAATTTTATGCTTAAAATACCCATTCACACTTTCAGAAATTCTGCTAAAATACCCTGTACCCAATAAGGGCAATCAAGATAGAATGATACTGAAATGAAATGTAAATAAAAATTGACAAAGCTGAAGAGATGCAATATACAGAAATATTTCCAAGAACTTCGCACTGCTATTCTTGCATACACATCTTTCCACAGATTTTGAAATATATTTCCCTTATTGTGCATCAATGCTTTGGAACAATATACATAAATCAAATCTCTACTGAAGCTGCACTGACATGAACATGTACATGTATCTTCAATTACTACCAACTCCTCATTTCTAAGTATTCCTGGCACACTTTTATACTTGTATATTTTGTGTAACATTATTTAAGCAAGACAATAACATTACATGTGCATTTATTTGCAAAATATAAATTTAGGAAAACCTCAAAATAACCATCAGAGAGTTACATGCACTTCCTATTATTGTTCACAACATCAAAATTTTTGCATTTAGAAATTCTAGTAAAACAAAAAATAAAGTTTTTGCCAATCAAATGTGAAGTTTGATACATGTACATTCATTTATAAGCAATAATTTAAATCATTCATAAATGTTCAATATTTTGTATGAAAAACAGCTACTTACTCCTGACACCTGTCTACCTCATAGAACTTTATCTGCATTCATAGTTAATAGAAGCCAGATTTTTTTTCATGTACGTATCAAGTACCCCCCCCCCCCCCAAATATATTCTTTGAGTAAATTAGCATATGTTATGATTCAAAAAAAATATTCTCAGAATGTACTTGTAAATTTCGAACAAAAACCAAATACAAAGTCTAGATAAAAAACATTATGAATAATGTAAGAAGTGAAAAAAAAAAAATCCCATGTCTGACATTCCTTTGATTCAAAGGAAACAATTTTATCACAGAAAAACTAAATCTTTGAGTCTCTCTGATGAAAATTCTCCAACTGGCACACACACATACACCAGGCAGCAATTGGCACTACATCTATTCCCTGTCGCTCCTGAATTATATCCCCTGAAAATTTGAAAGCAAGTGGACACTTAAGTCACATTCTCCCTCGTGTTGACGTCCCTTATGTTAACGTCCACTGTGACATCTATTACATTACTTAAGCTCTGGTTTAAGACTCGCTGAGCATTTAACTGTTTCTCTGCTTTAAGTCTTTTGTAGTCTCCTTTCATAAATAAAATCACAGAACATGCAGCTACTGCAGTTAAGGCATTCATAAAAAGCCCTGGTACTGAAAAGGAAAAATGACAAAACCTACATGAAAATCATTTCATTCACATGTACATGTACTGCTAACAATTTTTTTTCTTAAATTCAATTATAAAAGGTAAATTGAAATACATTTAATGTCCATTCAAATATTTTTTTAATTAAATTAGAAAACAGTAAAACAGGCTTATAACAAAATGCCATGGATGGACAATTTTGCTTCATTATAAATGTTTATATCCATTAGGTTCATAATATATTTTAAAGCCACAGGGAATGAAAATCACTTCGTTATAAGCATCAATTTATTATAAGCATGTTTTACGGTAGATGTTGTCAAGCAAATGGATAGTGAAGTGAATCAGTAAAAAATGTTTTATTATATGATTTAATAATTCCTTTCTCTCTGATTGGCTGAAATCTAACAATTTGAATGTAGAAAAAATACTGTGTTATATTCACCTGCAGGTGACCTTCCAGGTGAATATAAGGATTTATCTTCTCTACATTGGTCTATAAATAGATTGGGAAATTCCAAATACATGTAGTTTTGGAAAGCTATTTTACTTGCTACATCCACTCAGGTGAACATTATAATAGGGAATATATAATCTGAGTTGGGGATGGGGGCAGGGGACCCCCCCCCCCCCCCCCAAGAAAAACCCACTCTTTTTCTAAACATTAATTTTTACTTTTAATTTAGACTAAAAATATTCATTAAAGGCTGGTCCCCAATTAAAGGACCTTAATCCCCCACCCTTAACCCCACCCCAACCCAAAAATAACATTTGAAGTTAATAGAATTCTCTTTTTTGAGGGCTATTCAAAGATTTTTGGGGGCTATTATTTTCCCCAATCCTTTTTCAAAACTGATCCTATAAAAGAGCCTGGCATTATTTTTTGTCATAGCAAATAAAGTAGATTTTAAAAAATTCCACAAATTTGATTGGTAATGTTTATTTAACCCTGCTTCTCTCATTGCATATGGCTAGGACTTTAGGCAATGTAAACAAGTATATAGGCATGAATTGCTTAATGAGTTTGTATCATTTAATCATTGAAACATATAATAAATCAATTGTTGCTATTTTTCCAGTCAATACGATGATAAAGCCACATTCAAAGTACAATATTCACCTCGCCCTTCGGTCTCAGTGAATACTGTACTCCTCAGGTGGCTAAATTGTCTTATTGACCTCAAAAAGAGCAATAATTGTATAATATTGTCTTCCTCATTTTACGACTTACCTGTCCAGTCTTGAGGTGTGAAGGAATCTGACTTACTACTGCTGCAACCAGATCCTGATTTTAAGAGAAAGTGGACAAATAAATCGTCAAAAAAGGGCATTAACTGTATTTTGGTAATGTTATTCATAAATGCAAATTATCACTGTGAACTGGAAACACTTTGTTTGTATTTCACAGAATGTCTCCCAGGTAGCATGCTCTAATAGTTTACTGCATAGTTAAATAATATATTTAGTGCATGTATGAACCTACAATGTATTAAAGAAACACTAGATAAATGTATATGGATATCTAACCTTGTGCACATGCTGAGTCAGCCAACTGGGAATCAGAGAGAGGCTGGGTCAGGAACTGGGTCACAAGAATAATGATGATCCCTTGGATTTGTCTTGAGAAAATAACATACAGTATGTGTAATACAGGTATGATCTTGATCTTGATGCAATTTTTAATGCATTAAAACTAAGGGTAGAATGTTGAGAAGGTGTAAGAAATTGCACCCAGTGCCACATCAATAGGATACATCTTCGTCACTTTAAGTGAAGATGTAGCATTCATCCCAAGATCACTCTATTACAGTAGATGATTTTTTTAAATAGAGTATGCTGTTCATTAGCTCTACTGGTCAGAGACCAGAAGAGCTTATGTGATAGTAAGGTGTCTGTCGTCTGTCCGTCTGTCTGTCTGTCTAGCTGTCTGTCTGTCTGTCTGTCTGTAAACAATTTTTTCAAAACGCTACTCCTCCTACAGTTTTGGTCTGATTTCAATATAACTTGGCACACAAGTAGACTACACTAAGATACATAATTTAGTGCATCAGTTTTTGATTTTGATGAATGTTGTTGCCATGGTTACTAACAAAATAGAAAATTCTGTGAAATTCCTTTAAAACGCTACTCCTCCTACAGTTTTGGTTTGATTTCAGTATAACTTGGCACACAAGTAGACTATACTAAGATACAAAATGTATTGCATCCGTTTTTGATTTTGATGAACGTTGTTGCCATGGTTACTAAAAATAGAAATTTCTGTGAAATTCCTTTAAAATGCTACTCCTCCTACAGTTTTGGTCTGATTTTAATATAACTTGGCACACAAGTGGACTTCACTTAGATACATGATTTAGTGGATAGGTTTTTGATTTTGATGAATGGTGTTGCCATGGTTACTAAAAATAGAAATTTCTGTGAAATTCTTTAAAAACACTTCTCCTCCTACAGTTTTGGTCTGATTTTAATATTACTTGGCATACAAGTAGACTACACTAAGATACATTATTTAGTGCATCAGTTTTAATTTTGATTTAGATGAACGGTGTTGCCATGGTTACTAAAAATAGAAATTTCTGTGAAATTACTTTAAAACGCTACTCCTCCTACAGTTTTAGTCTGCTTTTAATATAATTTGGCATACAAGAAGACTACACTAAGATACTTAATTTTATGCATTGGTTTTTGATTTCGATAAACAGTGTTGCCATGGTAACTAAAAATAGAAATTTCTGTGAAATTCCTTTAAAACTTTACTCCTCCTACAGCTTTGGTCTGATTTCAATCTAATTTGGCACACAATTAGAATACACTACTATATATAACATGTATTTCGGTTTTTGATTTCAGTGAATGTTGTTGTCATGGTTACTAAAAATAGAAATTTCTGTGAAATACTTTCAAAACGCTACTCCTCCTAGAGTTTTCGTTTGATTTCAATATAACTTGGCACAGAAGATACATAATTCTATTTAATGCTGCATGTTGCAAAGTTTCAAGTACAAGTGCTACTTTGTTATACATACAGACCAGTAGAGCTACAGTCTCATCAGAGACTTCTGGTTTTACTACAAGTGCTAATAAAATTCTATTCCACTATTTAAAAGTTTGGATAAATATAAAAAAATATGTCAGTAGTGGTCCATGAGCTATAGAGAAATATATACAAAAATAAATGATTTTCATCCATCCGTAGCTTTGATCTGCATATGATTATGACCTTAATCTGATCTAAAACTTTAGTACATTTACGCTGCTCAAATGTAGAGTCTCTTCATGTATATTTAGTCTGAATATTATAACATACACCTTATGGATGGATAGACAAAATACAAATGCATGCCTCCCCACTTTTCATCATAAGGGCCTGAAATATTGAAAAGAATCTCTACTTACCCTGACACAATTAATAGACCTGAGCTTGTTGCCTCGGCAACAGGGTATGTAATTTCTACTGCTAATTCCATAGATATTGGATACATGGCAAAAGCGAAAGTTCCAAATGCTGTCACCATCACTGCTATGAGTATTTCTTGATCTTTATATCTGGCCATCTGAAAAAACAGCAACTGCAAATGAATTTTTTTATGCCCCCGTAATCGAAGATTTGTGGGTATATAGTTTTTGCCCTGTCCGTCCGTCTGTCTGTGTGTCTGCAAAAACTTTAACATTGCCCATAACTTTTGACTGGTTAGAGCTATGGCTTCCATATTTCACATGTGTATTCCTTGTGACAAGACCTTTTTTTGGGTAACATCATATTTGACCTTTTGACCTTGGAGTTTATCCCAGTTTTGCAAAATTTTACCCAACTTTAACCATGGCCATAACTTTTGAACAATCGGTGCTAGGGCTTTCAATCTTCACATGTGTGTTCCTTGTGACAAGACCTTTCTTTGGGTACCAACATATTTGACCCTTTGACCTTGACCTAGAAGTTTGACCTATTTTTGAAAAACTTTAACCTTGGCCATAACTTTCGAACGGTTGGTGCTAGGGCTTTCATATTTCACATGTGTATTTTTTGTGAGAGGGCCTTTTCCTTGGGCACCATTAATTTTGACCATTTGACCTTGACCTTGATGTTTGACTAACTTTGAAAAACTTTAACCTTCTCCATATTTATTCAATGATTGCTGCTGGGGCTTTCATATTTCACAGGTATATTCCTCTAGACAAGACCTTACTTTTGGCACCAACATACATGTATATGATTTGCATTTGAGAAAGTTTAACCTTTGCTATAAGTTGCCATATGGGGGCATCAGTGTTTCACAAACACATCTTGTTTCTTTTAAGCATGGTACATAAACTGACTACTGTTTTTATAATGAAGTCTGTTGAGTAGATTCCAGTGTGTTTTAAACTGCAGTTCAGAGCCCCATTTTACAAAAGAACTTTCAACTAAGACCAAAATGTAATTTTGCAAATATTTTTCTTTTATATATTATTTGAAAACAGTTTTAATCTTTTTAAAAAGAAATTTGAATTATATTTTATGCATGTAGTTGTTAACAGAATCATTTATTTATTTTGCAATCAACAAAAGTATTTGGTCTTAGTCATAAGTTCTTTTGTAAAACGGACATGTATGTGAACACACGTGACTGAATCAAGATGGTTGTTAAATTCTTTTTCCTGTTTACATACACTTAAAAAATAAAATGCTTTCTTTGGTTGTTAGTACAGGAATTAATGTTGCAGCTGTTGCAAAAAAAATGCATAATCCACATAAGCAGGTTATATAATTTTTTTCTGCAATAGCTGCAATGTTAATTCCCGTTCTAACAACTAAAGAAAGACATCTTATTGTTTATATCTGTGCAAATAATCATTTAAAGTAGGATTAAGAAGGTTAAATATTGTATTATTGATATGTACATCATTGTACGTTTCATTGGTGGAGCCACTGCTCAAGGATATGCTTAGCAGTGTTTACTGACCGATAAACGACAATGCTTTTCTTAAGAAATAAAGGAGATAACATTCAGTGAATGTAAATTTATAACGGTTACAGTCTTATTAAAATATTCAAACATTTACCAAATTTTTAAAATTCTTCTCATGGATGTATGATTTAAGAGTTATACCTCAAAAAATCCAACTCCAAATACCACTGCTATTGCATAAGACACCTTGACAACTTCTTCAAATCGTTTGGTTTTGTCTACATAGATCCCTGCAACAATGGCTCCCACCACACCACCTACGATCATTAAAGCTCCACACAATCCCGCAAAGTCCTGAAAATAATATTTTAATGTTATAGAGGCAAAACTCTTCCATTTTCTGAATTTCATTTTATTATTTTACTTGGAAAAACAAGTACATTTAATCTGGAAAACAGTCCTGTAGATCATCATGATAGATTTTCATGATACTTATTTTCATGAGAAAGTCATATAGAGAGAAAAAAATTTCGTGAACTCTAATATTGTTGAATATAATCCTTCATAACAAAAATATACCCAAGAATGAAATTTTTGCAAGCACACGGTCTCATTTAACTATGGGAAAATAAAGTCCTCACGAATAAAAAATTATTTATAGTAACTGGTTCAGGAGTTCAGAAGGGGACATTAGAAAAGTAGAAGGGGGTCTTGGGTTCCTTCTCTAATGGAGAGTGAAGGGTGAATACCAAAATAACCAAGGGATTACATCATTATAGGTGGAAAATTCCTCAGCCCCTGGGTCTTAGGGACAACCCTAGCTAAGAATTGATTTAACTTTGAAAAACTTGTTACACATGTACATGGAAAATAATTGTTGTTAATGATAGTTTCATAACAGTGTTATTTTCTAATTTTCACCATATTATTCTGTCAAAAATGTAAAAAAAAAAAAAGAAAAAAACCACTAGGTACAAAAATAATGCTGTAATGAATGTACCAAGGTACTAAAAATCTAATTTAACAGCTTTATGTCTTACATTGGAATATCCTCTTGGGCACAAAACTTGGTCAAGGAATGATGTAACTGCTGAGAAAACAGCTAAACCTGTGCCAAAACTTAGACACAATACCCAGTAGTTTCTGCTCTTCACAATCTGTCCAAAAAAAGATTCAAAGATCACATGACTGCATTTTGTAAATCTGTATTGAGTTTCATCTCTATATATAGTACAATGTACTTGTACATGCAGAAATTATACAGAATTTTGATGTGTGGATTTATGTTAAATTCTAAATCCTTACTACTCACTTTAAACAGATTTAATTGTCCAAAAAAATCATTTTTTTAGCCTGTCTTTCAGTGGGACATTTCAGTTATTACAATGCTTCTTGTTTGTTAGTTACAGAATAAAAGGATACATGTAAATATGTATATTGTACATGTATATATGCATACATGCATTTATGTATATTGAATGGTGATGTCAATAAATTGAATTGTATATTGACTTTGGTTTGTCCAGTGATTTCAAATTATGAATATAATACATGTCTCATAATAATAATTTGAAAAAATATATGGGACTGCCAAGGAAATAAATACTAGTATACTATTTCAAAGACTTAATGGATAAGGCTAAAATAAAATTAGATAATTAACATTATCTGTAAAGACCTTTTTCAGTCCCTCTTTAAATGGTTCTGAATCCTCCTCTGCACTGGCTGTGGGAGGAGTGGGAGGGACGGACGAACAAACTCCAAAAGTTGCCATGAAAACTACCAAAAAAGCTGGCGCTGATATCACCCATAGCTATCAAAACATTGGAAACAAAAATCAGAAGATTACTGGATTTAAAGTTGGATAGATTTCAATTCAAATACAGTTGAACTTCAATATCTCGAACACTGATATATGAATATGTCATAGTGATTTGGAATCCAAACCACTTACCGGTATTATTGAAATATTTTACCCTCAATATCTCAAATCTTTAGATAACTCTAAATTTTTTCTTGGTACCATGAGGTTCGAGATAAGTAGGTTTGACTGTATATCCAAATCAGTGTTACTCACGGCTCTGGGAAGTTCCTCCGAGTTGCATCCATTAACCATTGCAGGTGCTATCAAATTGGCTGATAAAATTCCTAGTGGATTAGCTAAGTGAGAAGTAAATGGAACTTTTTAAAACATGTTTTACATTAATAGTGATCTAAACTTGAACCCAATCTAATTAGAATTAGATCTTCCATGGGCTCCCCGTCCTCGCAACATATAAAAAAAACAGGGAGTGTATGGAAGATCTAATTTTAATTAGATTGGGTTCAACCGAGATGAACCTATGTATCTTGAAAAATATGTCATAAAAATGGTTACAAGTCATCTGGAGTCAAAAGGCAGTCCCTGAACTTATTGATTTGAGTGTCAACTTAACACTGTAAGCATACATAAATTAGTGTACACAAATTTTAGAGCAATCTTCCTCTTTATTATAAATCTGTGCGAGTCTTAAAAATGACATGTATTAGTTTTAATCATATACAAGCATGAATATTAAGTAGAAAAGAAGCTGAGTTAAATGCTCAAATATGATCACCACTAAAATAAGTACATTTACAGTATTCGAACGTCCAGATATCTCAAAGTTTTTTGACAGTCCCTCCATAGTTTAGACTCTAGTACTATACACCATGGTATACAGGGTTATTTTCCCCTCATCTTATTTTCATCCTTTCACACCTGCAAACAAATCTGCCCCATTTTGAATTCCCCCAGACATAGTTCTGTTTAAGAGTTAATGCCTTTTTCTTTGCATTCACCCCATTTTAAATTTGCCAAATTGTGACAAGGGCAAAAGGGGCAAAAATAAAACAGGGGTGAAAATTTCCCTATATACAGTATTACATTTGGCTGTGTATACTTTTTAGTGCTTTTGGCAGATAGCAGCATGCACTAAATCAAGTACATTGCTAAATGTCTTTCTAGATATATATTTATATTTAGCACATTCAGAAATGTGTTAAATCAAATATACACTAACTTGTTAATAAACCAATTTCTGCCAAATCTGGTATACATAAATATAATAGTTTCACAGTATCTCTTGTAATAACTGTATTGAAAAAATTCTTATGAGACTTTTATTTACCAGATAAATTTCTTTCTGAGGTTAAAAAAAAATGAATTCAATGCATATATAAATCATATATTACCCATGGATGCCAACATGTTCGCTGTTGCTCTTTGCGAGTCCATAAACCACATAGCTGCCAGCTTGGTTGGCGCAAACATAACAAAAGGCTGAGAAATGGCTGCCAAAGTCTGTCCTGCCAGCAAAATCCAGAACCTGAGGTCACCTGGTATACCTCCAAATGTACTCACATTTCTCAAAAGATTTCCAATACCATTCAACCAGGCAGACAAAAGTATCTGTTCACAAAAATTAATACATCAGAGCATCGATCAATGTTTCATGATTAGTTAAGGTATGTCTCTCGTCAGCTTATAACAGAAGTTCAGAACCTCTAACGTCACAACTATGCATTACAATTCAATTTTTAAAACATATTTGAATTAAACAATGCAAATAATACAATATTCAATTTAAAAAGTGCTCAGAGAGTCATAAAGAAAAAAAATTTACGGGGGACTTTTTCTTGAAGTGGAAGGATATTTAGAAAATTCTTCAAATCTACACATTTTTTACATTTAATATCTTGGAACTTTTGGTACACATATTTTTACTTAGAGAATATTTTCCGTTATTATATGCTAGGAATATTAATTATAGGTTTCACTGTATCTTTTAAGAACAGATTTTGCAGTGAGTTTTATATATCATTGTCTTTACATCTTATTTGGTGTATCAAAGGGCTGCAACCACATATATCATTTTTTTTTCCAACCAACTATACCATACATGTGATAAGTCAAAGACCACAAAACTGTACAGGAGCCATAAAAAAACTGGAATTTGGGTGAAAAAACTGTACACTGCCTATCAAAAAAACGGTACAAAAAAATGGTATAAAATATCGCTTAAATTCTTCTGAAATTCCATCGTAATCATTGTGATAAACATCGTATATTTTTTACCTACGAAGATCTTGGTCAGATTCACGTATATTAAGTCATGTATATCAACTTTAGAAGTTGGCTTAGTTTTTTTCAATCAAGTTAGGTATACGAAACATTAACAGTAATTAAGTACCCCTTAAAAAATAAAGCTACCTAAAGGGGTATTTGATACGAATTTATAGCAAGATAATTATCCCAATTGGCAGTTCACACCTTCGCACGCGATGGTTGTGTACACTACACAATTATCAGAAGGTCAAGTGTCAACACAGGTGACGTCTTCCAGTGTCTCGCGAGCGAGAATGAGAGGAAAATGGCGGCATTTAGCGAGAAAGTAAAAATACTGTACAAATTTTCATATTCCGTGAATTTTGGTGTCCCGCCGGTACACGATGAATGGGCTCGAAAAACTGTACATTTTGCGTACAGCCGGTACATATCACATGTATGCTAAACTGATTTATATATCTAGAATCTACAATTAAATTACATGTACATCCAATTTATAATACATAATAAAATTAATATTTCACTGCCTTACAGTATAAAATGAATAAAGGAATCAGTTCATTTAATTTCTTATCCACTACATGTATAATACATGTATAACCATGATATGAAACCATCATTTTTTTAGAAAAATATGTACAGTACATGTATAAGGGACTAAAGCAGTAAATTGACATGCTGCATAACCAGTAACACTTACACTAGCACGCAGTCCATAAGTGTCCAGAACCCAGGAAGCAGTGAAACCAAAAGGAACAGATGCCACCATGAAGATCAGGGAGAGTATATTCACCTTGAATGCATTCACATCATAATATGTACTGGTGAGGTCAGCAATAGGGGAGAATGTAATCCATGTCTAAAACAAAGTGCAAAAAACACAATTAATAATTTCATTTTGCTATATGTTGGTAACAATTCTTTCTTTAATTTAAGAAGTGTTTTTCAACTTCATTATTTAGCCATACACAACTACTGTACAGCAAATTTCAAGAACTGAGAAAATCTGAGCTGAAATCTACACATCGTTTCAAGAAAATTTAATGAGTCTTTGTGAACAAATTCTCTTTGCAGGGTTGGCAACATGGGGGTCACAGAATGGCAATAACTTGCTTAATAAGATTTACAAAAAAGAATTTTTTGGTCAATGGAATCTTGATAATTCTCTGTCACAAATTAGTGTATGCATCCTTTTTAAACCTGCATTTATCAAATTTTATGATTTATGACATCATTCTTTGATCAGATATTAATAGAAAATGTGTCAGTTTTTTCTTCCATTCTGTTGGAATTTTTAGAGAATTATCCAAGATGATTGGGATTTCTAAGTTATAGAGAGTTATCAAAGTTTAAGAAAATCTTCTTTATTGTTGGTCGAGAAAATAAAAACTGTGCAACAAGAAATGATGATCTAAGACACAACAAACATGGGCAAAAGAGGTTTATTAAGCTTTGTAGTTTGCAAAATGAAATGGTAGATCTACCGTTTGAGAGATATAGAATTTATTAATAAAAAAGAAAATTGTGCTTGCCCTTCAAAGACCGGCATATAAACTGATAAATTGTAAACACTACGTTTCAACTTTACGATTTACATAATATGTAATATTATTGTGTAAACATAGATAGCTACAAGACAAATCTATAGTCTGGTCTGATCAACTTCTGTCAACCCTCCACTTGTTCAATGCCCTGATTAGATAACATACTTCTGTTGTTGGAGATTGACTTCGAAATAAGCAAATCATTCCTGCACAAAAACACCACTTACCATAGCATTTGATAAATTTAGAATTACAATAACAAGAAGAATGAACCATCTTTGTGCATACACAACGTATTCCTCGTCTGGTTTGGACACAATTGATTGTTTACTTTCTGATTTTATGGGTTTGTCCCTCGAACCACCGGAAGGCGCCATTTTTTGATCATGTGACTGCATCTCCATGTTCTGTATTTGTCGCATTTTGAGCTCGATCTAATAAAAACCTCTTCTTGGTAAATAGCTCCAAAAGAAACTCCAAGCATAATCGATCCATGTAAAGTTTCTCTGTTTCATATTATGGTAGATTAGAGTCATTACAGCAAACTGCACTTTATAAAACTGTGGTTACATCCAGATGTATCGATCCAAGATTTACTGAACAACTTTGACAGAAAATAGGCATGTAGTTTTCCGTCGTTCGGGGTAACTGTAGAATATGTTGCCCTAGTTCTGTCTCAAACTCGATGCAGATTTAATTTAAAGATAGCACTCTGCATTCGTCAACTTTAAATCCCGTAACGGCTATTCACTTTTTAAAAGTTTTGGGTTGCTATACACTACAGCTAGGTAGAGATAAATTGTACTCTACGTGACATTATCTAATCTATTTCCGTTAAATTGCCTTTTGGGGCATATGCATATGTATAAATATATTGAAATATATTAATAAAACAATGAATCTTTTTAATCAAAAACTGTTGAGTTTTAATCCATATGTCTAGAATCCTTTTAAAAATAAATAAAAATGCACGAAACGGCTGAAATATTAAGAAATCATCTGAACTAACGGTTCGGTCATGCAGCACTTTGGCATACATATAAATTCTGTTCTGATCAGGTGTTTGTTATAAAGTGCTTTTATATATGTCAGTACATGTATATGTTTCGCATATTTGGCACACGTACACACACCCTCCCCACCCTTGTTTCGTACCCCAAGGGTTCTTTGACTTTTTTAATCATCCCAAGAAATCCCGTCCGATTTAGCTTTGAGCTGAAATCAATATAAGTGCTATTGACGCTAATCACCGGTATTCCCCTAAGAGTGATTCGGGACAACTTATGGCAGAATCTTGGAGAGGTGGATCTAAAAAAAAAAAAAAAAAAAAAAAAAAACTTTTACAAATATTTTCCTCGGATGTCATTGATGTCATTGATAATTATAGCATTTATTTCCTTTAATATGCTCAATATTATTTTGCTACCACGCGTTCTTCTACTTTTTTGCATGTGGAATTTATTTAAATTTTATTTAGAATTAATTAAATTTATCTTGAAATTTAGCGATTTCTTTTTTATTATAGCCTTAAAATATTCTTAAATCTAAGGAGAATCTATAGTGTACAAGTCTCTTTAAGATACCCCGAGATACCCCATACCCTGCATATTTAAGGACATACGCAACGTACCTTACCTACTGATAACTTTTCAAGATATTCTTAATTTAAGATAATAGTGCCATCAGATGTTCGTACACAAAAAATCAGCATGCATTACCAGAGGTTTTGAAAAGATATCAATTGACGAAAATTCTTGTATAATTCAAAGAAAAATATACACAAATTACTTAACATGTATTTTAGATGGTTTTTTTTATCCAAACTTGTTTTAAAAGATGTGTACAACAGCATATATAGACATTAAAATGTAGCACACAGTTCATTTAAGCAATTGGAGCTCTAGTTCAAACTACGTTGCGCATGTCCTTAACTTACCCCTTGAGAAGAAGGTAAACATGGCCTATTTACACCCTTCCTACTACGCATTCAAAGGCAATATTTCTCAATATTTGAAATTTTAATTCTTTTCCCCCCGACACTCTCCTTCCCATCTATGCCCTAAAATCAGCCCATTCCACCCCGTATACATCCGAAGACATATTTATGAAAAAACCTGTGTTTTTATATGGCACTACAAGGGGTAAAATTAGTAACCTGTGATACACTTAAAGACTTTCTAACATCAAAATAAGGGTTACAAACTCAAACATGTATTTTAATTACCTTTTTATTTTAAATTGTTTATTGTTTACTCGTTTATTTTCTATAATTATATGTTTCATTTTAAACTCGTTATTATTATTGAGCACGTAGGAAATTGAAATCACCCCCCCCCCCTCCAAAGAAAGGCCTTATATTGCTCTTTTAAAGCTTTAATTTGAAATCTGAAAAAAATGTTGGATCCTTCCCTCAACAGTGCTACCATCATTTGTCTCGCATCACTCTCATGGGTAATATAAAGATTAGCGTTAATTGCGCTTTGATTGAATTCAGTCTAAAGCAACACCGGAGAAAATCCACAGACTTTCTTCCCATGTGTTATCATATCATTATACATGTATTATTATACATACTGAATAATGGGCTAATTAGTTACATGTAAATTGTACTGAGTTGTTTTATGTGTATTTATATTATGTAATCATAATTGTGATAATATATGCCATGCCCAATGAGGCCCTAATTTGGAAATAAATTCTATTCTATTCTATTTATAAAATATTTTTCTATGACACATTCACAAAGTATATCGATCGAAAAATCGAAAATATAGCATAAAACTAACCTTTCATAAAAACTCACACTCTATGGTACTGAAAGAAAAGGGGGCACCAAGCACCTGTGCATGGCCGTAGCTAGAACCCCCCCCCCCCGGAATAATTTTGCTAACATATAATATACAATTGAAAAAACAGCTATGCTTGTGCCGATTCAATAATGTGAGTCCCCCCCCCCCCCCGCTTAATTTGCTTCCTATTGGCCTGGTATATATATATATATATATATATATATATATATATATATATATATATATATATATATATATATATATATATATATATATATATATATATATATATATATATATGAAGAACCTTTGTCAAAGGATTTGGGAGAGAAAAACTGTCCATATTCGAAAAACGTAAGGGTGGTGAATCTCTTTTTACGAAATATTAGGGAGGGTTCTTTAAATTAAGCCCTCAAACCCGCCCTGATAGACTTTATGTGCATGGTATCGCGTCTCGGGTTAGGACATCTATTTAAAAAGATGAGAAATTTTATTTTTCACATATATAAATAACGTTTTGGATTCAGTTATAAATTCTTTTTTGGTCGAAAATTCTTTAAATATTATTAGCCTTAGCTTTAACCGATTTTGCTTAAATAAATATATATGAAAAATCTTTTGGTGCCATTTACCTTCCTAAAGTGTTTGTTTAGAGGACCTGAGAAGTTCTTGAGCAAACGTATATTTAGCTCATAATCAGCTAACTGTTTGTACTTCACCAGTATCGAGTATATTTTCTCGGACCTTATTGCTTGGATCCGTGTTTTCATTGACATTGAATAAATGCATGTATATGCCATATCAACCTACCCACCCATCCCAAATTTTGTTATAAAGTAATGCATATATGTTACTGAAGGAATGTGAACAGATTATAAATCTTTGAAAGGGAGGGGTGATGCGGATGCTTCACCTCGTGTAAAAGCTACAATGTAATGGTAAATAGCATTCCATCGGGCGGATCAAGCAGGACTAGAGGTCCTATAGGATTTTCAGTTTTATTAGATATGTAAGGCAGTACATGTATAACCCAAGAATGATTTATTTATTTATTTATTTTTTCGACAGATCGAGCAAATGGGGACCCACATTCCAGAACTTGGTTAAGGTCAAGATCTAGTAAATGAAAGGTGCCTACAGATTTCTCAAATTTGAGAAATAAATTCCTTTAATGATGCTTTATAACTTTAGCTTGGTCAAGTAAGGGGCATAATTTGTAGATGAACAAGGTGAAAAATCATATTTTAATCTGTCATTTTCAATGAAAAATTAAGAAAACCAGACATGAATACGGGAGTTTTTTTCCATATCAGACAAAGGAAATGTATCCAGATTGCCTACAGTCTCTTAGAAAATGATAATTTGTATGTTCGTGGCCTCTTCTTTAAAATAATATTAAATTGAATATAGGTATCGGGATTACTTTTCACATGATTTCAAATTGAATTCCATGAAAATACTTTATTTTCTACATAATTCTATTAGAGCCGTAAAGTACGGGAAAAAGAAAGTAAAAATTGATTATGACGTCATAATGGATGCACCAAAAAGTTATTAACTAAACTGGCAAACATATTCACAATAAAAAATATTTTAAAATTAATTAATTAATTAATTAAAATAGAGTGCACCGCCACAACACATGATACGCCCGTCAAATATTGTTCAATTATTATATACAGAGTGCAAGGAAGAAAGTCATGTCGACCTCTCCCCTTTGGTGTAGTAATTAAATAGAAATAATACATGCATCATATATTTTTCAACTGGCTGTGAAAGATCGAGTTTTACAAATGTCCACATGCAACTTTGTTCATTGTATATTTTATGAATGAAGAACAGTGCTACAGCCTAATGAAACATCAGAACACTAATAATTATTCTTAGACTGCAAAAACCGTCATCTTAATTAGTGAGCAATGGCACTCTGCACTAATGTTGTTGAGATATAAAAATTGAAATAAAAAATATCATATCATACAATATCAAATTAATGTATACATTTATACCAAATTAATTTTGAAAGTAATGGCTAGCCATTAATTTGACTGATGCTATTAATTGCATTTAAAAGGCCAGATTCATCTGTCCAGTTCCCAAGAGATATAAATTACACGTGCTTGATTAGAGATGCTATATCAGAAAACTTGTCACACTAAACTCATTAATTAATCTCTAATTTGACAGATTATCAATATTCTCCTTGAAACATCACTGCTTGATAATTTACACCCATGGGACAAATGAAATTTCTTAACTGTCACAAAAAATATTATATAATTTTGTTTCATAATTCTGAATATATACTTCACCTTGAAAAGAATTAAAATGTGTATTTCTCTTGATTGACAGTTTATAATATAATTTGTAAGAATACGTTCTCTTACACCATTCCTTTTGGAATTGTATACATAATTTGAAAACGATTTTTTTTTAAATTTGAAGGCAACAATGACATTTCAATAGGACCAATACACCTTCTACCTAAGATGCATTAATTGACTAAGTTTGATGATTCTAGGTCTAATAGTTTTCCAGTTATATGAGCCGCATATGATTTTGTCATATGTCCATATCATCTTTTTAAATGTCATAGCGACATACCTTCTGTCCAAGCTGTATCAGCTGACAAAATTTGATTTTCTACGCCTCATAGTAATAAACTAACAGACAGACGGACATGAACGCCATACCATAATACGTCCTGTCTTAAGACGAGCGTATAAAAATAATATAGCCCTATCCGTGACCTTGATTCCGAGGGCTTGGATTTCATTTTTTTTTTTTTTTCGTACAGACTACTTATTAGATCATGAATACAGTTTGCCTCCTAGATGTCCACGATTAAAGATGATTTTCGATATGTGTCCAACTTAATCCCTCTCTGATGGACCTTAACTCTGAACCTGGATTTTCCAGTTTGTTCCAGGGCTTCCGGTAACTGTTCATTACAACAATTAAAATTTTCTTGCTAGGTATCCATGAGAATTTTTTTTTCAATATATAATCAACTTATTTAGCCTCACTTCACACTGGGGCCATCATTCCAGGTCTGTAGTGCGCAACGGTTTTCAAAAGGGGGGGGGGGGGGCTCCAAAGAGTTGACAAATAAAACGTAGACTGCATGTCCAAACTCTCAAATCCTATTTCATGTGTATGATTTTTTAAGAAGCTCGTTATTTGTTTCATAATAACCTGTTGCCTCCTAGATTCTCTTTTGGAAAGAATTTCATTAAATTGGTGAGATTTGAATATGGTAATAATTTCCAAGTCAGCAATTTCAGGGAAGCTGAAACTGTTAGAAAAAATCACCATAAAAACATTAGCAATGTGTTACATGTAGAACACTTTTCAACTAGGGCTTCAATAAAAAAAAAATACATTGTAAATGTGTACTAGAACAAGCAGTCCGAGAGTGTATATTCGGGGGGAGGGGGGGGGGGGCGGTCCTGTCCAAAAGCATGCACCTGTAGCTCTTACAACCTTTTTTGTACTCCTTCTATGTAGATGAAACTTTTTCACTGTTTCATGTCACCTTCTAAATAAAACCTTTTCACTGGTCCATGTATAAAACAATGTGATTGGAAGGGGGTGGTTAGGCGTGGTTTAGAAATTGCCTTCTTAAGTCAATTCTCTTCAGCTACACTATTCATGGAGGGATTCGTGATTCCTGGAGTGATGGTGCTTGTTATCCAAGTCATTTTTTGTTACTTTTACCTAGAATTTTTAACTGAAAACCCGATGAAGGGGTTTTGTTGTTCCAGACCCCTCTAGATCAATGTATTTTCTCAACTTTTTCCTTTAACCTTGTCTGCATTCATTTACCCCCTACACCTTCTGACAATGACTGATAACTCATCTGATTGAAAAGTTGCTCTTGTGCCTCTCCCCCTCCCATTTGATAAATTCCCAAGGCCATTCCTAAAAAAATGTTTGCACTTGCAACCGGGGGGAGGGGGGGGGTGTCAGAAACGGGAAGGAACATTTTTCTTTTTTTTTCCAAAACTGAAATTAAAAATCTGAATAAACACTGAACACTAACTTTTTGAAGATGTATCTGCCATCAAGCAAAGAATCCTATTTCTGTGGTGCAAGTGATAATTGGTTAAGAATTGATTAAATAAGGCCATCTTTAAAAAGTTTTGTTTGCCCTCTTCCTTCCGACTGGCTAAAAATGGCCCCACTCAAAGCTTTTTCTCAACCACAAGAAAAGACATTTTTTTTTTATCAATTTGAATTTTCTTATCCTGTTCACAAGTATTTTATTTTAAAATATTTAGAAAATTCTGCACTGATATTGAAATTTTCTGAGGAAATTTTTCCCACCTACCTACTGACTCAAGAGGCCAAACAAACATTATAAAAGTATTTTTTAAGAGCTCATATCATTCTTCCCCCCCCCCCCCCGAATTTTCAAAACAAAATAGAACACAAATGAAAACCTTCAGACAACTTTTTTTCTTAAAATAATATAAGATGACAAAATCAACATTCAATGAAAATGATGTCACATTTATCAACTCAGTCCAAATGAATATAAATAAGGATGAAAAGGGGAAGGAAGATCTACACTACAGATTAGATTAATATGATTGTCACAATTTTTTTTTTGCCCAGAAAGAAAAAATCTCTCTACATGTTCTTGTATTTTAAGGCAGATTTAAAAAATGATAAAACCTGAAAACAATCTTCCCTAGCCAAGGGTTTCTGATCCGTTACTCTCCTCAAAAAGGAGGAGAGTAGCAGATCAGAAACCCTTGGCCAGCAAAGATGCCTGAAAACATACACAAACATAAAAGAATATAATTCAAAATTGCACCAAATTTAACTAATAAAATCTAAATTAAAAAAAAAATTATAATGTAGACTATCTTAAAAGCTATTTCATCATTAATACAACTTTTTTTTTTACAGTTCTATGTACAAATCAAATATGCAGCCTTTACATATGTGCACTAGATACAGCTGAAACTGTGACATAAATACCCGAGTATATCGAGAAATAACTAAATTCTTGTATAGACAACAGCATCATGTCAAAAATTACAAAACATACCTGGCTGCACATGCCAAAATCAATCTAGATACACTTGTATTTGGTTACAAGTACAGTAAAATATCATGTTCATCAGTTAGTGAAAATTTATACAGACTTTTTTTCATTGTGTAATACCAGAGAAAGAAATGCAATATTTACATGTACCTATACTAGGTATGAATACTGAAAATATGCTAGAGATACATGTATTACTGTCAAAATTGAGATAACTCTATTAAAAATCATGTATCACACCCACTTCTAGTTACAAGATGGTACATTTTGCACCCATGCTGGTGTGAGCAGATGTGTTCAGACTGCCATTTAATGACACCGCCGAGTTAGCTTTTTCTTTAGTTTTCAGTTTCTTGATTTTGCTCTCTTTTTTGTTCTTCCCTTTCAACAACACCTCCTTGTCTGCTGCATCAGGCTGAACTCTCGCTGGGGTACCTCTTCTTTCTGCCAATTTTCCACTATGCTGTGCAGGAGAGCTCAACTCAGGGGAGACAACCTGTACTGTTTTTTGAGAATTTCCATCTTGGTTTTCTTGAGTATCAATTTTGGATTCTTCCTCTTTTATGGCGTCTTCATTGGGTAAAGAGATTTTTGTAAGTTTTACCTGAGGTGTCATATCCGCTGATAATTTAGTTGTCTTCTTGGCTGACCTTGCCAATCTTGGAGTCTTCATTGGTGTTTTAAATTCAATGGACTCATCAAGGGAAGTATCTCCACTTTTATCATCTACACTACTTTTTACCTTAGCTGGAGCTTTCCTGGAGGAATGTCTGGATTTCCCAGAAGAGGTTTCTAACACTGCTTCTGTCACTTTGACTTTTACCTGAGGGGACTCTGTTGGGAGATCCATTTTCCGTTTTACTGTAGATTTAGGACTTTTACTCTTTATATCCTCTTTCGGTTTTGGTGTCAGTGTCACTTTAGGTTCCTTTACCTTCGAGTCTGTATCACTAATTGTACTGTCATCTTCTGATTGCTCGATATTTCTCTGCCTGGTGCTTCTTGATAAAGCTGGAGTTCTGCTTTTTCGCTTGGTTGCAGACCTGAGTTGTTTAGAGGCAGATTGTGCTGGTGTCTTTCTCTTTATACTTGTAGGTGTTCTTTTTGGTGAGTTGGGTTTAACATCCTCAAGGGACTTTGAAGCTTGACTGACTGGGGTCTTTTTGACACTGCTTCTTTGTCTTTTTGTGGAGACAGGTTGTGTATCTTCTGATGCACTGGACACTAGTCGTGCAGGGGTCTTGAAAACAGCTTCCACATTTTCTGGCATAACTTTGGGCTCTTCTGCAGATTTTGTAACGGAGCGTCTTGGTGTTTTTCTTAGCTTCTTTTGTGCTGGCATGTTTTCGTCCTTTTCTTCAGATTTTGTTGTGCTTGGTTGGATAGATTTTCTTTTGGTTGCCAAGTTATTAGATTGTGGAGATGAAATTTTTCCATGTAAAGAAGTTCTAGAAGGAGGTCTTTCAGGTGATTTTGGATTCACAGACCTGCGAGTTGATACTGGCTTCTTTGGCACTGCAGTTTCTTCCTTCTCCTTGGTTCCTGTCATTTTTCTGTTTTGACCAGTTGTTACCGTCTTCTGGACCTGGGAACAAGCTTCCTGAAGAGTTTTACCTTTCTGATATACAGATGACCTCCTGGTACGAGTCTTTACTCCGGGTGGGGAGACCACTTTTCCTGGACCTTTCTTTAATTTTTCCTGAGGGGTAACTGCAATGGTTAGCCTTATCCCTCCTTTTCTGCTGTGGACATTGAATATGGAGGATCGCCTGGATCTTGTACCTATAGGAGAGGACCTCACAGGCTCTGGGAGTTTGAACATGGTGTGTCTCCTGGAGTTGGTGGTTTTCTGGGTTGCTGTTCCTGTTGGAATAACTGACTTCCTGCAAAAAATATTTCAGAATAAATATTGATAAAATATTCAGTCCTTTACTTTTTATTTGCTATAGAAATATATAAGATCTTAAAGAATAAGTCGGCTAAAAATATTTTTACACAGGATGCACTTTGTATTTGCATAGCTCCAAGAATCATTTTTTATTCAGAATGAGATAAATATTTGCATACTTTTTAGACCTCAAAAACATCATCAGCAAAGAGGCATGTGCCGAGATGAGAACAAGAAGATTTTAAGTGTGAAAAAACATTCGACATGGTAGAATGATAATGTCAGTTTAGCATGTTTAGGATGCACATATATATAGAGAGAAAACAAATGAAAAATTTGGTTGTAAAAGTTAATAATTGAATAATGTATCAATGCCCTCATAAAATAAACAAGGCTATTTTGAAAATGACAAATTGAGATGTCTCCAATATATCTTTGTGTGTGTGTGTGTGTTTCATTCCAGAAGGAAAAACAAAAGAGTTACTTTATGTTTATTGCACCTATTACCCATAAAGGCCCTGCCTTTTTAATTACCTCTTTATAATAAAAACCAAAGAGGGAAAAACTTGCAAATTTTGGACAAAGATAACTATTACGCAATTTTTTTCCTCAGGGCAATGCTAGAACAAGTTAATGTTGATTTTTTCTCACCTTCCTTTACGAACATTATTGAGTGGAGACTCTTCTAGCTCAAATTTCATCTGATTTCCAGATACCCAGCCAGGAGTTTTTGGACTGTAAAATTGAGCAGTGGACAACCTGTTGTGAAGAAATATTATCATTTTGTGATTTGTATTATTTAATGATGAACCACTTTTTTCCGAAACTTTTCCCTTTGGATTTTCACAATAAAGACAAGTTAAAGACAAAGAAAGTATACAATTTAGTGAATATACTTAAGACAATGATAAAATATATACATGCACATAATCTCTTCAAATCGTAAATATGTTACCCTGCTGTTTTCTCTGGGGTTTTGGGGGGTCCTCTCCTTCGAGGGGTTCTGCTGGACACACCTGGCATTGTTGCACTTACCCTTCAAATACAATGACAAAATAAACAATATTTAATATTAGATAAGAAGCAATGCTGCATGTAAAGAAATAAACTTGTGTAAGGTTTTCTATAAATGTCTAGATGGGAGATGGGGGATTTCAATGAGGGAAATATGTTTTAATTTATTTAGCAACAGTACTATTCAAAGAAAATATAATATAATTGGGCCACACATATTCCAGAATTTTTTTACCCTCTGATCAGCAACAACACATCTTCACAGTGTCAAGGTTTTGCAATATATTGTTCATCTATAATTTTGTGATACCATTTGTGTAGAGGAACAATATCACAAACCCTTCACGTAAAGATGCCTGCAACAAAGCAGCCATAAAATAATATTGACACACTGTGCTTTGTTCAAATTTGTAGCTGCTACTTAGGTCTACAATCTTGATTCTAATCTTGAACGATATGCTAGCCTAGTTACTATGTAGGGATAATATGCCTTCATAATCATTCATACAGTGCAATCATTGTTTCAAGCCATGGTCGGACGGGTCCGGAGTCTGAATACAAGCCCTCTCCAGAATGGTAGAGGATGGTACATTTTGGCCGTGATTTGTGAATTTGTTCATGTTGTTCAATTGACCTAAATATTTATAGTCTAGCAAATAGGCTAGTTACCATGATCCTGAACACAGCCTTGTTAAATCAATGTCAAATTCAAAACAGGGTGTAGTGTGATATGAGATATTTTTGGGCTTTTTCCTGATTTGATATGATAGAAATAAATGTCAAAAAGTCTAAATGTTGAAAACATACGATTGTTCTAAGTATACATATCATGATACATTTGTGACACTTGTTTTACTACAATGTGGCATTAATTACTGCATCATGGCACATTTGTGACACTTGTTTTACTATAATGTGGCATTACTTCTTAATAACTAAATAGTTTAAATCTATCATAATTTTGCACTCAACAGACTTTGTGCTGAAATATGTTGAAATGAAGCTGCCAAAATGACATGCATCAAAATTCCAATATAAACATGATTATCAGAGAAACCTCCTTAACTTAATTAAGTTCTACTGATGGCATATTTTGCCAGAAGAGAATACAATACTGATAAATAGTTTGGAGCTTAAGCCTTCAAAATCAAACATAAAGGATTACCACATATTAAAGGTTTTTCAATCTCTCCCCCACCCCCCTTCCTTCACTATCAAAATTGTTGACATGTTTACACTCGAGATGAGGATTTTATATTACCATAGTATAATACATATGTTTCCGATACAAATAAAATAGCTATTACAAAGAAATTGATGTGATTAAAATGAAACTTCTACTAAATAAAAAAAAAGACTGGATATATTTTACTTCTGCTTTTAGATCTACACAAACACTTACTTCTTTCCGAATTCGCCGCCGGAACTACATGAAATTTAAACTTCTAGCGTTATCCATATAAGGAAGAACAATGGCGATGTTGTGGTTATTCGACCAATGAGAAATCAAAAATAATGAATTTCAAATGAAAGCTGATAAATCTCTACGCTGAAAAAAAAATTCGCGTGCTTGATAAATAGTAGACTGGTATATTTTAACGACTTTATTTGTAACTAATAGAGATAATATTACGTATTAACAGTGTATATAATAAATTTCTACAATAAAATAGCTACTGCGTAAAACGTGCATTTAATAATCAAAGGACTATATTTTTTATCGAACGATTATTACTGAAGGATGTTTTTCGTCCTCAATTATTCGCGCTTTGACTTTGTAGTAGGAAATGTGAAAAAATTTACCCCGGGTTAAAAAACTATCGTGCTAACAAAGGTAAGTTTTTGACAATTGCAGGTCATAGCTTAAAATCATCCCATCCATGTCTGAAAAAGAGCGATATAAAATGAAAGCACTGAAGTTGCATGTTGTGTATTTCATGGGGTTTGAAAAATGAAATAACCATACGTACGCACTGCATAAAGAAGTTTTATTAAAATGAGATTTTGCAAAATTTTGCACATTTTTATTGTTCACAAGTTTACCTACATTAGATCACTTACAAGTTAACATTTGCATCTTACTCTTTGTACATACTCGTACTTAACAGTTTACCAGCTGATCGAAAGTTTGTAATTCGCGGCAGTAGGCCTACTGTATATAAAAGTCAAGACTGGTTCCTGTTCAACTGTTTTGCAGTAATACTTTCTGATTTTTAATTTTATAAGGCTATTTTAAATTTAATAAGGTTTATAATATTATACTTATTTTTTTACTGCAGATGTTACATGGAAAAATTGTTGTAATAAAAAGGTCAGGTGCAGATGGAGCACAGTTTCCATTAACTGCTGAAACCTGTGTGTTTGGCAGGTATGAAAAAAAATGTTTTCTGGCAATATTTCATAAATCTTGCTGATTTTCATGATCCCCTAAGGGCATAGAATTTAACTTAAGATTTTGATTTAATTTCTGATAATAAAACAAAAAGTTAAACCCTGTAGATACATACATGTAAGTACAGGGCTATAAAGTTGATTCTTGTGTCTTTTATGTGTTCATTTCTGCATTGTAGGTCCAGTGAATGTGACATAAGAATACAGCTGCCAAATGTATCAAGAGAACATTGTCGAGTGACCGTGGAAAATGGTGAAGTAAGTGTCCAATCAATTAAATCAGTTTTTAAAAAATAAAACTATATATGCTGTATACCCACGGATTAAGGAGATTTTGTTTTCATTTTCCTTTATTTGATTAATTCTGTCAAGTTTAACTATGTGCTTGTATAAATGTATGAACCATAGTTTCTCTCTTTGGAAAGAAAATGGCATGTGACAAAGTCATATCCCAGAAACACCAATAAACCAATAATTTTGAAACATGTTTAACTTTTCATGATTTAAACTTGTCAAGCACAGTGTTTACCTAATTGTCTTCTTCAATTGACAAAAATGCTGCTTAAAAAAAAAATTGTTGTAAGGTCCACAGAGATTTTGTTCATAAACATCAACCCTTAGCCTGTTATAGGTTGCACAACAGTATTAAATTTTTCTATATATTCTTACCAAAAATTTGCAACATTGAGTAGGTGGTATCAATTGAAAACAAACTTTTGAGAAGTTTCCTTTTCAGATCTTGTAAAACAATTCTTTATAAAGATTTTAGTACCAAAAAATACATATCCATCCAGCAAGGCACGCAAGTTTGTTTCGGTCGAAGTCGAGCAGGTGCTTGAAAATCAAGTCCAGGACCTAATCACTCCCCTCTCAAATACAGTATAGAAAAATCAGCACGCCCTAAATTATAATGAATCTAGTCAATACAGGAAGTTTTCATATTGTTTTTCATCTCATAAAAAAATTCAGCTCCAGTCTCGTGTTAAAATGCCTGAATCGGAAGGGAAGATTCAGAAATTATTTTGCGTCAGCCATGATTTGACGTGAACCTCTAGTGAAATATTGTTATGACACCTGCATAATAGATCTCTTACCCTTCATTGCTGTTTATCAGTCAGTAAACACCACTAAGCAAATCACCTCTACAGATTTTTGGAGCAGTGGCTGTTCCATCAGTGAAACAATAATACACTTTTTCATCTACTAAAGCCTACGTAACATGATTATTTGCACAGATATAAGCCAAAAAATGTCTTTTCTTGTTTGTTAGTATGGGACTTAACATTGCAGCTAATGCAGAAAAAAATTACATTACCCACTTTTGCAGATAATGCATTTTTTTTCTGCAACGGCTGCAACATTAATTCCAATACTAAGACAACCAAAGAAACCATTTTATAGGTTAACTATGAAATAAAGGGAAAACACTTCAAGCAGTTATTTTTTATCTATACCAACACAGTTTCCTTACACATGTATATTTGTAGATTTATTAGTTAAGCTTGGGTTTATCCAGTTGTAAACACCACAATGTGTGATAGCCATTTGTAGATTTATTATCTAATTCAATCTTATTTGATTGTATTTTTTGAAACTTTTTTGCTACACTATTTTTATGTACTGTGTACATAAATTAAAAATGAAGTCTTGTATTTTTAAGGTATATCTAACTAATCTGAGTGACTCTAATCCTGTCTCTCTGAATGGAAAAATCCTGGATGGGAAGAAGAAACTATCTAACAAAGATGTCTTCACAATCATAGACAGATCATTTAGACTTGAACTTCCTGGGAACATGCGCAGTACATCTCCAAAAAAGACCCCCGTCAAATCTCCACACAAGGTATTCTTATTAAGCATTTAATTTATATTTGTGTGTGATACTTAATCTGCTGTACATTAGTGTTGCAATACCAGAAAAAAGTTAGTTGCTGTAGATTATCAGATTAAATCAGAAGCATACAATCGATTATATAATGGATAGCTTGCACTTTTATTACAGTTTACATTAAAAATAAAATTGCATTACAAATCGATCAGACGAGCTTCAAAACCTGCTAAGTTGGAAAGTTTGTCTACCAAGAAAAAGAGTAATGTACTTTGATAAGTTAAAAGATAAACCAAATATGATTGAAGAACATAGTTTCAGAATAATAACTCACAGTAAAATTTTCATATGTTTGTTGCTGGCACAATGCCTTTATCAGTGATTGTTCAATAGTTAGCGACTACAGTACTTTACATGTAAATTTATGATTTTCAAACCCTGGAAATATTGGATCTTTGGGATGTTTGATAAAAAAATCGTTGATTAAACTTGGATTTCATATTTCCTTGAATATCTTTTATCTTTAACACATAATTTTTAGCTCACCTGAGCTGAAAGCTCAAGTGAGCTTTTCTGATCACATTTTGTCCAGCGTCCGTCTGTCTGTCTGTCCGTCTGTCTGTCTGTAAACTTTTCACATTTTCGACTTCTTCTCAAGAACCACTGGGCCAATTTCAACCAAACTTGCCACAAAGTATCCTTGGGTAAAGGGGATTCAAGTTTGTTCAAATGAAGGACCACGCCCTCTTTCAAGGGGAGATAATTAGGAATTACTGAAAAAATAATGGCATCATTTAAAAATCTTCTTCTCAAGAACCATAGGGCCAGGAAAGATGAAACTCATGTGGAAGCATCCTTAAGTAGTGTACATTCAAGTTTGTTCAAATCATGACCCCCGGGGGTAGGGCGGGGCTGCAATGGAGGATCAAAGTTTTACTTGGAAATTAGGGCTGTCACGGTTCCAAAATTTTTCGGGTCGGGTCGGTTCCGTAAATTTTCGGTTCGGTTTCGGGTTTTTCGGGTCGGGTATTTACATCTATTTTAACCTTTAATTTCATGAATTTAACTTGAAAAATCTTTATTTGTTACATTAAATTTACATTGGAAACAAGTCTGAACCATGCGAACGTCTAGACATCGGTGACTTGGCCTACTATTAGCCACAACCTGACCATTCCTGCTCATTTTGATAATTATCTAATACTTCCGTGACAAGTGTTTTGTCATGGAATGAAGTAGATTTCAGTTGTGATGTTTATTTATCACTGTTATCGTCATCATTACTTTGATTTCGACGCCATTTTTTGTATTGAACAGACTCTAATATATAAACCAGACCCGAATCGAAATCCGGAAAAATGGAACCGGAACCGAACCGAACAACTTGGACCGCGGTTCTCGGTTATTTCGGGTACTCGTGACAGCCCTAATAGAAATATATAGGAAAAATCTTCTTCTCAAGAACAGCAAAGCCATGATGAGTCATATTTATATGGAAGCATCCTCAGGTAGTGTAGATTCAAGTTTGTTCAAATCATGACCCCGGGGGTAGGGTGGGGCCACAATGGAGGATCAAAGTTTTACATAGAAATATATAGGAAAAATCTTTAAAAATCTTCTTCTCAAGTACAGCAAAGCCATGATGAGTTATATTTATATGGAAGCATCCTGAGGTAGTGTAGATTCAAATTTGTTCAAATCATGACCCCCGGGGGTAGGGCGGGGGTGCAATGGAGGATCAAAGTTTTACATAGAAATATGTAGGAAAAATCTTTAAAAATCTTCTTCTCAAGAACAGCAAAGCCATGATTGGTCATATTTATATGGAAGCATCCTCAGGTAGTGTAGATTCAAGTTTGTTCAAATCATGACCCCCGGGGGTAGGGCGGGGCTGCAATGGAGGATCAAAGTTTTACATAGAAATATATAGGAAAAATCTTTAAAAATCTTCTTCTCAAGAACAGCAAAGCCTAGATGAGTCATATTTATATGGAAGCATCCTCAGGTAGTGTAGATTCAAGTTTGTTCAAATCATGACCCCTGGGGGTAGGGTGGGGCCACAATGGAGGATCAAAGTTTTACATAGAAATATAAAGGAAAATATCTTCTTCTGAAGAACTGCAAACCATGATTAGTCATTTTGATATGGAAGCATCCTCAGGTAGTGTAGATTCAATTTTGTTCAAATGATGACCCCCAGGGGTAGGGTGGGGCCCAATGGGGGATGGAAGGTTTTACATAAGAACATATAGAAAAAATATTTCTTCTCAAGAACAGAAAAGCTATGTTTAGTCATATTTATATGGAAGCATCCTCAGGTAGTGTAGATTCAAGTTTGTTCAAACCATGACCCCCGGGGGTAGGGCGGAGCCACAATGGAGGATCAAAGTTTTACATAGAAATATAAAGGAAAATATCTTCTTCTGACGAACAGAAAAGCTATGTTTAGTCATATTGATATGGAAGCATCCTCAGGTAGTGTAGATTCAATTTTGTTCAAATGATGACCCCCAGGGGTAGGGTGGGGCCCAATGGGGGATGGAAGGTTTTACATAAGAACATATAGAAAAAATATTTCTTCTCAAGAACAGAAAAGCTATGTTTAGTCATATTTATATGGAAGCATCCTCAGGTAGTGTTGATTCAAGTTTGTTCAAATGATGACCCCTGGGATAGGAAGGAGCCACAATGGGGGATCAAATTTTTACAAAGGAATATATGGGAATTTTTTTTTAGAATCTTCTCAAGAACAAAGCCATTTGTTATATTGACATGGAAGCATCATCAAATAGTTTAAAATTCAAGCCCCCCCCCCCCCCCCCAAATTAGGCCAAATTAAAAATATATATATATTTGTTTTCCCATTTTTTTTTACCTAGGCTTTTAACAATGGTAAGGTACACTTTTATATAGGTAAAATGTTTGGGTTTTTTTTTCTTCTGAAAGCTTACATACATTACATCATCATACAAAATTTTAATACTGATTTTCTAAATCGTCCTCACATTGCGGCCTATAGCTGTCAAGCATTTTCTTGACAGCCATATTTCCCGTTGAGATGTCAAACATTGTACAAGGTTTGTACTTTGATTTGTCAAGTCTATGTGTATGAAAAAAATTCAATCTGATGAAAACAGACATTAAGACATTGTAAAGATACCCAAAATATTTAACAGTTTCATTATTTTTAGTTGCATAAATTGTGCATTAATATATTTTTCTATAGTGGTACATTAATTTTGAACCTTGATTATGGAAATTTTTTTTTCAGCTTGTTAATAAAGGGTCAAGTAAATTTTAAATATGATGTTGAAGAGTAACTGGATAATCAGGAAAATTGAACTTTAATTTTATTTATTGTTGCAGATGAAGACCGACTCCAAAATCCTTACCCCTAAGATTAAACCACCAAGTGGAACACCTCAAAAGCCTAATACACCTTCAGCCAAAAGCCCAAACAGGCGTATTTCATCAGCTGCACCCAAGTCTCCAGGCTCAAATACTGCTGCCACTCCGAAGGCAAAAGCAAGATCTCCTTCTCCAAGAAAAACACCAGTGTCTAATTTAAAGACACTGGTAATTTCTGAAACTCCAGCAAAATCCCCAGTAAAGAAGGTGGCAACCCCAAAATCTCAGCCCAGGTCGAGAAGTGCTTCACCAAAAGCAAAGGTAACCCCTGCTAAAACTCCAAAATCAGGAAGAAAATCTAGGAGTGCTTCTCCGAAAGCCAAGACACCGAACAAGTCACCCAGAGCCAAGACTCCTGTTGCTTCGACAACTCCAGCTATAGCTGCTGAGGTACCCAAGACAACACCTAAAACAGGAAGAAAATCTAGGAGTATATCACCCAAAGTTGAAACACCTATAGTGTCAACTCCAGCAAAACCTACAGAGATAAAGACAACCCCTAAGCCAGGAAGAAAATCTAGAAGCACTTCTCCTAAATCCCAAACTCCAAAAAGTGCAACTCCTAAAGCTAAGTCTCCAAAGGCTAAGTCACCTAGAAGGAGTGCATCTCCAAAGGCTAAAACTCCTAAAGTTGCAACTCCTAAAGCAAGTTCTCCAAAGGCCAGGTCACCTGGAAGAAGTGCATCTCCAAAGGCTAAAACTCCTAAAGTTACAACTCCTAAAGCCAAGTCACCTGGAAGGAGTGCATCTCCTAAAGCCAAAACCCTAAAAGTTGCAACTCCCAAAGCAAGATCACCTGGAAGGAGTGCATCTCTTAAGGCTGAAACACCTGGAACCTCAACTCCAAAGGCACAAACTCCTGTAGTGTCTACTCCTGCTGAAAAGGCTGAAGTAATTGAAACTCCCAAGTCTGGTAGGAAATCAAGAAGTGTTTCACCTAAAAGCAAGACTCCTAAGGCTTCACCGAAGACAAAAACACCTGTAAAGTCTATCACTCCTGTAAAAGATGTTGAGGAACCAAAACAAACTCCAAAATCAGGAAGAAAATCAAGGAGTGTTTCACCTAAAGCCAAGACCCCCAAGGCATCACCTAAGACTCCTGTGGTATCTACAACTCCAGCAGTAACTTCTAAAGAAACTTTGTCCACACCTAAGGCAGGTAGAAAGTCCAGGAGTGTTTCACCAAAGGCTGCAACACCTGCAGCCACCCCAAAATCTGCACAGAAGGCCAGGTCACCTAAATCCAGGACCCCCTCTCCAAAGGCCAAGACACCAGTTAAGTCACCAGCTACTCCTAAAGTTTCCAGTACTGGTAAGAAATCCAGAACACCCTCACCAAAAGCTGCTGTGTCTGCAAACACCACACTGGAGTCCCCAAGCACCAGTGGATGGACACCAGTTGGTAAGCAGTTTAAATAATCTGCTGGTTTATAATTTAAATGATTATTAACATGGTATTTAAACTTAAATGATAAATTGTTGTAGTTTAATGTCCCTTTCAGATTATTTCACTCATATGAGAGTTTAAATAAGAAAATCATACTAAATGTTGTATGGTACCATACAGATGTTTTTTGTTTAAAATGTCATTTATTTAGAAATTTTATATTTAAAGAAGAAAATGATAATAAACAATAATGAAAAAAATGCTGAATGTGTGATTTGTATTTTCTTGAATATGACTTGTTGATTTTAATATTTATTATTTCTTTCAGTGAATAAAAAGAAAATGGAAAGAAGAGTGAGTATAAAAATATATCAAGAATTGTTTCCTATTTAGTATAAAATCATGAATTGATTAGTGTTGTTTTAAAATAGGGTAAATAAATAGCTGACAGCAAAGGTGTTAATTAATGCTGTCAGTGACATATTTATTCATCCTAGTGAATGGCTTTCAGTTGTGAAATGATAACACTGAACAAGCTTTGATGTGTTCAGTCAGTGTCATCCATCATTGATAAAAGAAATTTTGAGTGTCTTTTAATATCACTTTAGTTTAGACCATGGTGATTTGTACATGCATGCTTTATAAGTATTAACTGAAAGTTCTCATTCTCTTCTTTTTTAAGTCTCTGCCAGTTGGAGGGCCATTAATAACTACAGGTACAGTAAAAGTATATTTAAATGTGGAATAAATAAATTATATATAATTTTAAATATAAATTATATAGTTAGTTTTGAAAAGATATATATATCCAGAATTTAATTTATGTATACCAGGATGTACTCTATCCTTCGTTTTTGGAAACTGTGTGTCTTGAACTACTTGCTATTAAAGAATTCTTTCTTCATTGGGCCATATAAAACTAATCTTTAGATTCTCATCCCCGCCCACCCCTCTCAAAGTGTGTGTGTGTGTGTGTTAATATTTTATACAGAAAGAATCTTCTGCATACTTTTCAAAGAATAAGTTATCAAATCTATCCATATTGGAGTTACAATGTGAAATTTTTTTTTATAAGAAGATTGTTATGTAGATGTTTACAGTAATAGAAAATAAAACATAAAATCCGCCCAACCGCCCAAATTCTTAAGAAAATAAGGATGAGAATCTAAGCTTTAAATTGATAAATAAAAATGATATAGGTTCACTAATTTCCACTTTTCATATTTGTTATTCCAGCATTACCTAAAACACCTGGCAGTTCTGGAAAGAAGAGAAAGTCCACAGATACTTTGGAGTCCAAGTCAAAACGATCAAGGGTGTCATTTGGACCCAAACTCAGCCCTGAGCATTTCTTAAAGACACTTCCTCCATCTACACCTGTAAGAAAGGGAGCAACCCCTAAACGGCAGGTGACTAACACAGAGTCACTGAAACCACTGCTGAAAAGGAAATCAATTGCCACTGCCAAGAAGTCACCCATTAAAGAGGAGAGTCCACGTAAATCTCCCAAGGCTGTTGGTCGTTCTCCAAGGAGTCCAAAGAAAGGAAAATCTCCACAACCAAAAGCAAAGAGTCCAAGGGCCTCACCAAAGGCTTCAGCTCAGACAAAATCACCAGAAGTGAAGACTGTCACCTCAAGCCCCAAGAGTCCTTCTGAAAGCAAATCGCCAGCCAAGTCTGCAACACCCACTTCATCACCGAAAACTCCACCTGGAAGTAAATCACCTCGAGGTAAGCCAGCAACCCCTAGAAGTGCATCTCCAAAGACTCCACGTAGCAAATCACCACAAGAAACACCAATTTCCACTCCAGCAGCACCTTCCCCCAAGTCTCCAGCCCAACAGAAATCACCAAAGGCAAAATCTCCTGTGCAGAGTAAAACTCCACAAGCTAAGGCCAAGTCCCCTAAAGCTACCCCTAAAAAATCACCAAAAAGTCCCAAGAAGGCTGCATCTACAGGGTCCTTGGATGAATCCTTAGGACTGGATAATTTGTTTCAATCACCAAGTGTAGTTGCAAGTACCCCAGCTGTTGGTAGCAGTAAGAAGAGGAGATCAGCTGTGTTGACCACCTCTCAGTCAAAGAAAAAAATGGAGGGCAGAAGAGCAAGCACAGGAAATCTTGTAGGTGTTAAGAGATTACTAAAGACTCCTAAAAGGTTGGCAGACACCAGCTATACTGGCATTTCTGCAATGATGGAAACACCAAAATCTGCTTCAGTAAAGAAGACCACTCCAAAAGTCAAATCTGCCAAGACTCCAGCAGAGACAAGCTACACTGGTATTGCTGAAATGATGGCTACTCCTAAACAAAAAGCAGCTTCCATAAAGAAAAAGACTCCCAGAATGATTGTTGCTTCCCCAGTTGTACAGAAAATTGATGCTCCTATGGCTGATCTAAGAAAAGCAGTTGCCATCCGAGCAATTCATGGAAAAGGGGCAACCCCAAAATTGCCAAAGATGGCACCTAAATCGTGGGCAGATGTAGTGAAGAAAGGTGTGCCCAAAAAGGTTGTTCCTTTACAGGCCAAGAAGGTTATGCATTTGAAGAGAATAGCAAAGAGTGCCAAGAAGAATAAAAGGAAGGTAGGAGAATTATTTCTCTGAAATTATTACAAAGAATATTTACAATTACTTATAGTTACAAAAACATTATTAAGTGTATGAAAGATGACGTATGCTACATGTAATTCAGTCATCATCATAATGTGTGAGGTTTGCAGTTACATATATATTACATTTTGAAATATGTGAATTATTGCAGTTACAGTTTGCATGTTTCTGCATTTCAGTCCATTGCCAAGACACCAAGAACCAAGGCAAGAGCAACTGCACCAACTACCGGGCATGCAGATTCCCCAGTGACTATTGTCATAGGCAAGAAGAGAGTCAAAACTCCTACTGCTTTACCTAAGAAAGGAAGAAAGTCGGTTGGAAAGTCCAAGGTACTTTTCTTTCCTTTACTGTTGAGTGTTTCTTGCATTCCACCTAGGTTCATACATGTATTCAAGAAAATGTCACTCTTGTATTCTAACTTGTAGGCTATAAAGAACAAGGCAGTCAGCCCATCAGGAGTCAAAGAATTGTTTGCCACACCCAAAGGGAAATCTCCAGCAGGCACCCCATTGAGTACAGGAACACCCAACTCTCTATTTTCTGATCTCCCAGATACTCCCATTGGACCTGGAGAAATGGCTGTGTCACCTCTGTCAAACAGCATTGCTGCAGCAAGTCCTCGTCTTGGTGGCATGAAGAGGCTCTTTGCTCAGCCTAAGAATGTACAATCTCCTACAAGTCCACTGGGAATCAAGAATTTAATGAAGGTACAAATGTCTCTCTTTGAAGTTGAAATAATAGCTGTTATGTTTATAGTTTTTATAAGTTTTAACAAATTTCCTGTACCTTTTGGAAGAGGTGTTACAATTTGCTGTTGAATTTCAGACTCCTGGATCTTCAAGACCCTCATCAGCCAAGAAAATGAGCCCCAAAGCTTTATCGACCAAGAAAGCAAAGAGTCCAAAAGCTTCATCAGTGAAAAAATTGAAGAGCCCTAAGACCACAAAATCTAAATCCCCAGCAACAAGGTAAAGATCAGTTTGTTTACCCAGATAAAAATGCAAGAATTTTTTTTAAGGATAATCAGGTGTTGGAAATAAATTTTAAATTACATGTATTTACTCTTTCCCTAGGAGAGGGACAAAAAGGGGAACCAAAGTTTTAGCCACCCCACCACAGCCCACAAAGAAGATTCGTGTGGAGGCAACCCCAGAGGAAAAATCTGTCGCCCCAGAAGTAACAGCTGCTTTAGCCACCCCTGCCTCCCCAGCTCCTGCTAAATCCCCTGTAGCTAAAAGAGGGTACGTATGACACAGTACAGGTCTGAAATTCAGGTCTTATAGTATAAATGAACAAAATTGTGTATATCACACAGAGTCAGTTGTATTTTCCTTTTTTTTTGAAAAGTAAAAATGCATTTATAGTTCCTCATTTGTATTGGTATGATTTTTAAGCATAAAAAGAAAGCTTTTATGAATGAAATAATGAATTTTCAATTTAATATTTGTTAATTATAGAGGCAGAGTAGCAGCAAAGAAGACTGCTGCCAGAAAAGAAACCCCAGCTAAGCAAAAGAAAGGTAAGAAACAGTTCTAGTTAAGGTTAAGTCCAATTTAAGCATAACGTTTTATACGGAGTTGTTAAGGGATAATTTGCTTTTTCAGTGCACTAATTGTAGTGCCTGTGTAGCCTGGCAGAAACAAGGGTCACCATGCTTGCTGTGTTGAATGAGCCATTTTAATTTAAACTAGAGCTCTCAATTCGAATCACATTCTGAAGCTTATTGAAATGGAGCATTCAGATTCAAACTTCACCTGGATTTTTAATGATCTATTCAAGTTCAAAATTAGCTCTTTTTACAAAAATGTGTAGTAATTAACTGTGTAGATACCAATCCCCTCCAAAAATTTAATGTCTTTAAAACTGGGCATTTCATGATTCGGTCAATAGATTGATTTGATAATGATTTAAATTTTTTATGTACATGTAAATTAAACATAAGTTTTTTTGCAATATTTGTCTTATTTGAGGCGGAGGAAAATGCAGAAAGAAATTCATTATTTTTTTCTTGTTTACCATAATATCTGTGAATTTTTAATATGTACATAACTAGTTTGTGGACAGAGAACTAGTCTGTATGCACAAAAATAGAAATTGAGCATGTATATTAGGGATGGGTATCGGCAAAAATTTCGTATCGTGATATATCTCGATTTTCCCCCACAAATATCACGATAAATCGTGATATTTTTACACACAATTTTTACTACAATTTCAAATGAATTTCCAAAATATTTTTTAAAAATATGCTATAAAAACATAACTTTATTTTTTAAATTTTTATTAATTTGATATAAAGCTTGTTTGGATGCCGTTGTTTAACTGTTTTCAACATTTTTTTACACTTCCTGTAATAGTCATTCCATAGTTTGAACAAATAAATGAATAATTTCCGGAATTTATAGTTATGTACGAAATACCAGTATTTTAGTCTCCGTATCACGATACGTATCACGCAATAAAAAATCGCGATATACCGGTATACCGATAAAATCACACATCCTTAATGTATATACAGTATTTCTAAAATTCCATCAAAGCTCTCATGAACCTTGATTTAACAAAAGGTAATCCTGTTGACCTAAATATAAAGTATCATTAATTTGTGGAATTTCCCCACATTTCTATGGAGTATGAACTGACAACACGTCTCACTGCCTTGAACACTAAAGCTTCAAAAGCAAACATTGAGCCTTAAAAAAAATGTTATAGTCACAAGGCAAATTAAATTTAGAGGTAGACTACAATGATCATACTGTTTATTTTATTTATGGTAGATACCCTGAAAAAGAGAGGAAGACAAGCTCAGGCAACTGTTCCTGTGTCACCTGCAACTGTGCAGACATCCCCCAAGCCAGTGGCCATTGTAGCACCAATGAGTGCTAAGAAAAAAGTCGAAGAAGAGGTGGTGAAACCAGTCAAAAATGGAAAAGATAAAGAGCCTGTGGTGAGCATCACGCCAATGAAGAAAGCAGTAGAGAAAGAGCATAAACGTGCCACAAAGGCTTCTGCTAAGAAAGTAGCAACACCTGTTAAAGAATCTCCCAAACCCACAACTAAAAAGCATGCTACTAGAGGAAAAGCAGCTTCTAAAGAAGCAAATGAAGAGAAAGAGAGTACACCTGTTAAAGTTAGTCCAGTAAAAGGTAGAGCCACTAGGGGGAGGAAAGCTGCAGCAAAACCTACACCAAAGAAAGCAGCTTCTCCTGCAAAACCAGTTGCACAAAAAAGAGGGAGAGAAGTAGCTAGAGAGGATGATGTTGAAGCTGCTGCAAAACGTCAGAAAATAGAGGAACCTACCTCCCCTGCTAAGGAGAGTCCGGTGAAGGGACGAGCAACTAGAGGCAGGAAGGCAGCAACTGCGAAAAAAGTTCTGCCCAAAAAGGCAGCTAAGGCAGCCTCACCTGTCAAACTAACAACACCAGCAGCTAGTCCCAAGAAGAGGACAGTTAGGGGAAAGAAAGCTGCAGAAGCCGAGACACAAGAAGTAATTGCAACAACTCCTGCAGTCAGTCCAAAGGCTACCAGAAGAGGTGGTAGGGCAGCCGCTGTGAAGAAAGCAACTCCTCTAAAAGCAGCACCAGTGAAAACTGCAGTAAAAGAGAAAGTTGCCACACCAGTAGTTAGTCCTAAGACCACCAGAAGAGGTGGAAGAGCAAAGAAAGCAACTCCTCAGAAAGCAGCACCAGTGAAATCTGCAGTGGAAGAGAAAGTTGCCACACCAGTGGTTAGTCCCAAGACTACCAGAAGAGGTGGAAGGACAGCTATTGGAAAGAAAGCAACTCCTAAAAAAGCAGCACCAGTGAAATCTGCAGTAGAAGAGAAAGCTGCAACCCCAGTAGCAAGTCCAAAAAAGAGCAGAGTAACCAAGCGAAAAGCAGAAAAAGAAGTTACTCCAAAGAAGGAAGCACCAGTTGCAGTAAGTCCAGTGAAAAGAGGTAAAGCTGCTAAAGCAACACCTAAGAAAGCTGCCTCTCCTGCTGTTTCTCGTAAAAGAGCTACCAGGGGAAAAGCATTAGAGGGCCCAAGCTCACCCAAACAGCAGAAAACCATTGAAGAGCCAGTTGTTGTCAGTCCTGTAAAAGCAAGGAGAGGGAGAGGAAAGGCTGTCGTAACAAAAGCAGCAACTCCTAAGAAAGCAGTGAAAAGCAAAGCTCCATCTCCAGTTAAAGATGCACCTGCAGAAGTAACATCAGAAAGCCCTGTCACAAAAACTACTCGAGGCAAGAAAGCTGCAGCCCCAAAGCAAAGTAAAGTTGCTTCTCCAGTAAAAGAAGCAAGTCCTGTAAAATCAAGAGCTACCAGGGCCAAGGCAACAGGGAAGCCTGCCAAAACAACACCCAAAAAAGCAGCAAAAAGCAAGACAGCTGCACCTCAGAAATCGGCTCCCACTCCTAAAGTTTCCCCCAAGAAAACTAGAGGCAAAGCTGTGGCAAAATCACCAACTCCAGCTAAAAGGACGACACGCTTACGGAGGAAGTGAAGGGTGATTTCTGAAATTTTTTGATAGCCAATTTTTCATATGAATGATGTATTTTATGTATTTATTTAGACCTTTTTTTTTTTTATAAATGGCAAATTCATCAAATGTAGCTGAAATAATTATATATTTATTGGTGAAAGTAACAAGATTTTTAAGAGCAAGCAATCTTTTACAAAAAAGAAAATGTGTTCAGGCAGCAGCCACAGATGTGTTCATTATAAGAGTATTTTATGTAAGTTTTGGATGTAAATTCTTGTCCAGTTTGGACATAATTTGGAAATAATCTTACAAGATGAAAATGTCCATTTTACTTTTCATTGGCAAATAAGATTGTATATTTATTCTGTGTACATTGTGAGAGAGTAGTCAGTATGCATGAAAAGTCTGGAAATTTTAAAATTGTATAGATATTTATGTATAGTCATCTCAATACTTTCTTTTTCTCTCTTTCCTTTTCAACCACTTTTTCATGTATTGTGTTCCAGAAACATTACCCATTTTTATGCTATCATTTTATTAATCATTCATTTTATACTCGGCTTGTTTAGTTTGATTTATAGTGTTGTAGCCATAATTTTATCATCTTATATTTTAAGTAGTGCAGATCATTTCCTCATTGTTTGTGTATGTATCTTTTGTCCATGTGCATTGATATTAGTATTTATGTAGGGAAAATAGTAGAATATGGAGAAAATAAGCCAGCTAAGCTGGGAACAGTTTTAGTATATTATTAATTAGGATTTTGTCTCGCATCCATTTGTTATGGTGCCACTACAACCAGCCTTCAATGTAATCAGTTTTTGGACAAAAGTTTAATCATCAGATTTGACAAAAGATTAATTTTATTATCCAGTGATATTTTCAAACTTGATCAAAAATTTACGTAAAAAAAGATAAGCGATACCATTTGCCATTTTTTGTAGCTTGGTTTCACCTTTTGGATGAAAGAATAAACTATGAAAATAATTTGTGATATTTTTTTTTATGCCCATCTTAAGACAGGATGTATTGAGGTACGTTCATGTCCTCCAGTGTGTCTGTTAGCTTTTTTGTGTCTGACTCATAATTAATACTATGAGGCCTAGAATAATCAGACTATGTCAGCAGATGCATCTTGGGTAGAAGGTGTGTTGCACATGAAATGTAGGTGTTTATGACCTTGAATTAAGTTATTGCAAGATCCTGATTGGCTCTTAACTGCAAAATCGACCAAAAGTCATCAAACTTCAATAAATGCATTTCAGGTAGAAGAATGAAAAAAACTGTAATTAGCTCACCTCAACGAAGTTGGGGGAGCTTATGTAATACCATCGGTGTCCCAGGTGAAAGTTTTTGGAGCAGTTTTCAGGTACTTCTATGCCCTACATTAATCAGAGATGCATGGGGGATGCTTCTAGTGTGTTTCAATGTACCAGTCAAGGTTTCAGATGCTGCAATTTCAGCTAAATAATGACCAGGTTAATGTTTTTGGAGCAGGTCTCATTTCCAAGTAACTATAGGCCAATACACCTAAGGATGCACACTACTGAACTTGCTTCGGCTGCTGGATCTGACCTACATTTTCTGGATGAGTGACCAGGTTAAAGTTTATGAAGCAGATCTCATTTCCAAGTACCTTTAAGTCCTATGTTGACCAAACTTGCATGGATGATACATCTAAGGATGCACACTACTGGACTTGCTTCAGATGCTGGATCTGACCTACATTTTCTGGATGAGTGACCAGGTTAAAGTTTTTGGAGCAGATCTCATTTCCAAGTAACTATAAGCCCTATTTTGACCAAACTTGCATGGATGATACATCTAAGGATGCACACTACTGGACTTGCTTCAGATGCTGGATCTGACCTACATTTTCCTTATGAGTGATCAGGTTAAAGTTTTTGGAGCAGATCTCAATTCCAAGTAACTATAAGGCCTATCTGAACCAAACTTGCATGGATGATGCATCAAGGGACGAACACTCTCAAACTTGCTTCAGATGCTGGATTTGACTTGCATTTTCTGGATGAGTAACTAGTTTAAAGTTTTTAGATAAGTCCATTCCTAAGTAACTGCAAGCTCTATCAGACCAAAATTGCATAAATGTTGCATCTAGGGATGCACACTACTAGATTATAAGTTTAGTGTGGGACTTTGCCTTACTTAAAGACAGCATTCGTTGAGGTGAGCTCTGTAATCTCTGATTACCTATGTTTTTTATGCCTGTAATTGAAGATTCAGGGGTATATAGTTTTTGCCCTGTCCTTCCGTCTGTTTGTCCGCTAAAACTTCACATCAAACGGGATATCTCAGTTTTTAGCTCTACTGGTCAGAGACCAGAAGAGCTTATGCGATAGTAAGGTGTCCGTCGTCCGTCCGTCTGTCTGTCTGTCTGTCTGTCCGTCTGTCTGTAAACAATTTTTCAAAACGCTACTCCTCCTACAGTTTTGGTCCGATTTCAATATAACTTGGCACACAAGTAGACTACACTAAGATACATAATTTAGTGCATCGGTTTTTGATTTCGATGAACGGTGTTGCCATGGTTACTAAAAATAGAAATTTCTGTGAAATTCCTTTAAAACGCTACTCCTCCTACAGTTTTGGTCCGATTTCAATATAACTTGGCACACAAGTAGACTACACTAAGATACATAATTTAGTGCATCAGTTTTTTGATTTCGATGGACGGTGTTGTCATGGTTACTAAAAATAGAAATTTCTGTGAAATTCCTTTAAAATGCTACTCCTCCTACAGTTTTGGTCCGATTTCAATATAACTTGGCACACAAGTAGACTAAACTAAGATACATAATTTAATGCATCGGTTTTTGATTTCGATGGACGGTGTTGCCATGGTTACTAAAAATAGAAATTTCTGTGAAATTCCTTTAAAACGCTACTCCTCCTACAGTTTTGGTCCGATTTCAATATAACTTGGCACACAAGTAGACTACACTAAGATACATAATTTAGTGCATCGGTTTTTGATTTCGATGGACGGTGTTGCCATGGTTACTAAAAATAGAAATTTCTGTGAAATTTCTTTAAAACGCTACTCCTCCTACAGTTTTGGTCTGATTTCAATATAACTTGGCACACAAGTAGACTACACTAAGATACATAATTTAGTGCATCGGTTTTTGATTTCGACGGACGGTGTTGCCATGGTTACTAAAAATAGAAATTTCTGTGAAATTCCTTTAAAACGCTACTCCTCCTACAGTTTTGGTCTGATTTCAATATAACTTGGCACACAAGTAGACTACACTAAGATACATAATTTAGTGCATCGGTTTTTTGATTTCGATGGACGGTGTTCCCATGGTTACTAAAAATAGAAATTTCTGTGAAATTCCTTTAAAACGCTACTCCTCCTACAGTTTTGGTCTGATTTCAATATAACTTGGCACACAAGTAGACTACACTAAGATACATAATTTAGTGCATCGGTTTTTTGATTTCGATGGACGGTGTTCCCATGGTTACTAAAAATAGAAATTTCTGTGAAATTTCTTTAAAACCCCAGTCCTCCTACAGTTTTGGTCTGATTTCAATATAACTTGGCACACAAGTAGACTACACTAAGATACATAATTTAGTGCATTTTTTTGAATTCGATGAACAGTGTTGCCATGGTTACTTAAAATAGAAATGTCTGTGAAATTCCTTTAAAACGTTACTCCTCCTACAATTTTGGTCTGATTTCAATCTAATTTGGCACACAGTTAGAATACACTACGATACATAATATGTATTTCTGTTTTTTTTTATTTGGGTGAATGGTGTTGTCATGGTTACCGGTACTAAAAATAGAAATTTCCGTGAAATACTTTCAAAACGCTACTACTCCTAGTTTTCATTTGATTTCAATAACTTGTCACAAAAGTAGACTACATTAAGATACATAATTCTATTTATTGTTGCATGTTGCAATGTTTCAAATCCAAGTGCTACTTTTCTTTTGTTATACAAACAGACCAGTAGAGCTACAGTCTCATCAGAGACTTCTGGTTTTTTAAAGAAATTTGACCGAGACTTTAGTACAAAGCTATCCCCTGCCACCTTCGTGTTAAGTTAATGCTGACATCTAGGCCTGTATATACAAATCTTTTAGCTCACCTGAGCTGAAAGCTCAATTGAGCTTTTCTGATCACATTTTGTTGGTATGTCTGTCTGTCCATCTGTAAACTTTTCACATTTTTGATTTCATCTCAAGAACCACTGGGCCATTTTCAACTTAACTTGCCACAAAGCATTGGTGAAGGGGATTCAAGTTTGTTCAAATGAAGAGCCATGCCCTCTTTCAAGGGGAGATAATTCAGAAATAGTGAAAATTTGGTGGTATCTTTTAAAAACCTTAAGAACAATTGGGCCAAAAAAGGTGAAACTTATAGGAAACCTTTACATGTGTAGATTCAAGCTTGTTCAAATGATGACCTTCAGGGTTTGGGTGGGGCCACAATTGGGGATCAAAGTTTTACATAGGAATATATAGGAAAAAAATCTTCTCAAGAGCACCAAAGCCATGATTAATCATGTTAATATGGAAGCATCCTCAAGTAGTATGGATTCAAATTTGTTCAAATCATGACCCCAGGGGTAGGGTGTGGCCACAATGTGGGATTGAAGTTTTATATAGGAAGAATCTTCCCAAGAACAGAAAAGCCATGATTAGTCATATTGATATCAGAGCATCCTCAGGTAGTGTAGATTCACATCTGTGATGACTCCTGAGGTAGGGCGGGGCCACAATGGGGGATCAAAGTTTTTCATAAAAAAAAAATAGGAATAACTATATATTAAAATCTTCTCAAGAACAGCAAAGCAATGATTAGTCATATTGATATGGAAGCAGGTAGTGTAGATTCAAATTTGTTCAAATGATGACCCTCAGGGTAGGATGGGGCCACAATGGGAGATTGAAGTTTGACATATATAATTATAAGAAAAAAATCCTGAAATTTCTTCTTCTCAAAAACAGCAGAGCCATGATTAGTCATATCAATATGGAAGCATCTTAAGGTAGTAGTGTAAATTCAACTTTTATGTCATGACCTTCCCCCCCCCCCCATGGGGTGGGTAGGGTGTGACTACAATGGGGTATCTAAGTTTTACATATGTTTATATAGGAAAAAACCTTAAAAATCTTCTCAAGAACAGAAAATCCATGGTTAGTCATATTAATATTGAAGCAATCTCGGATAGTGTAGATTCAAATTTGTTTAAATCAAGACTCCCTGGGGGTAGAAAGGGGCACATTGGGGGATCAAATTTTTTACAAAGGAATATATAGAAATTTTTTTGAAAAAATCGTCTCAAAAAGAGCAGTGCCATGATTAGTCATATCAATATGGAAGCATCTTCAGGTAGTGTGGATTCAAGTCTGCTTAAATCATGACCCACGAGGGTTGGGAGGGGCTACAGTGGGGGGGGGTAAATTTTTTTTACAAAGGAATAACTAGGAAAAAATCTTCTCAAGAACAGCAAAACCATGATTAGTCATATTGATATGGAAGCATCCTCAGGTAGATTCAAGTATGTTAAAATCATGACCCCCCAGTGGAAGGGAAGGACCACAACGGGGGATCATTTTTTTTTTTAACAAAGGAATATATAGGAAAAAAATCTGTTAATTTTTTTTTAAAAAAATCATCTGCTCAAGAACAGCAAAGCCATTTTGATATTGATATGGAAGCATCCTCCAAGTGTTAAATTCAAGTTTGCCCCCCCCCCCCTTTCCATGTAAACTTTTCAATGCTGAATTGATTTGTGCTTTTTCCTAGCCAATGTGCTAAGGTGAACAATGTGGCCCATGAGCCTCTTGTGATTGGTTGGAGCTATGGCTTTCGTATTTCACATGTATATTCCTTGTGACAAGACCTTTCTTTGGGTACTATCATATTTGACCTTGACCGTGGCATTGACCCAGTTTTGCAAAATTTTACCCAACGTTAACCTTGGACATAACTTTTGAACAGTTA